GAGAGAGAGAGAGAGAGAGAGAGAGAGAGAGAGAGAGAGAGAGAGAGATGGAGGAAGAGGAAAGGGAGAGAGAGAAAGAGAGAGGGAAGAGAGAAAGAAGGAGAGGAGAGGGGAGAGAGAGGGAGAGGGAGAGGAAGAGGAGAGACAGAGAGAGGATGAGTTCTCAAACTATAGCATGGGCTTCAGCTAAAGGATGGGCAGAATGGCAGAATTATAGAGGTGGCAGGGACCTCAGCTGCCATCTCTAATCCAAGCCGTACCCCTCAAGATCAGTCTTCACAAATATGTGACAAATGGTCATCATGGGCCCACCCCTCATCCAAGGCTTAGATCCTCAGTAAGTTTCTGAATAAATGAATGAACCATGGAGTTCCTTGTCATATTTTCTAGCAGTGATCAAACAGTCACAGGGTCATACATTTTTACAGCTGGAAGGAACTTTAGGAGTCTCTTAGCCCAATTCCCTCATTTTACAGATGAGGAAACTGAGGAACTAAGAGGATTGATTAGGGTCACAAAGCTAGTAAGCTGGGAGTTGAACTGGGGTTCATTGACTCCACACCCTTCTCTTTCCACAGTACCCTGCTGCCTCCCCAGAGTCAATTGTCAGACATTTCTTAAGTCCCGGGTTCTGTGCTAAGCACTGGGGATACGAAGAAAGGGAAAAAACAGTCCTGCCCTCCAGGGGCTCACAGTCTATTTAATGGTGGAGACAACCCGTGAATTACTGGGTGGTTATAAAATACATTCAGGATGTAACTTTGGAGGTACTGGTCCTAGCAGCTGGTGGAGGGGATGGTGGGTGGGTAGGGGACTGAGAAAGACCCTCCTACAGAAGTTGGCATTTTCACAGACTCTTAAAGGAGGCAAGGATGATGACGATGGGAGACTGGCAATACAAAGTCAAGAGGACAGAAGATAGGGCACAGAGAGGAGGCCAGAGAAGCTGGAGGGGAGTGATGGATGTATAAGAAGACAGAAAGCCTACTTAGGGGCCATATTGGGAAGAGCTTTAAATGCCCAGCAGGAGTTGATATGGATGCTTAGGAAGTCATTGGATTTTAATGAGTAGAGGAGTGACATAGCCAGCCCCAGTCTTTAGGAAAATCACTTTGGCAGCTGTGTGGAGAGGGGAGAACCTGGAAGCAGGGAGGCCGATGAGGAGGTCCAGGGGAGAGGGGTTGAGGGTTTGTTCTAGGAGTGGAGAGAAGGGATGTTGGACACGTGAGGGTCTAGATGGCACTTAACCTGAGGACAGGGCTCCAGCTGAATGACGTAGAACGTGAGAAGCTCTTTCCTTAGCAAGGCCTTGCCCTTCTGTGGTCCTTTGGGGATGGGAAGTGAAGGCTCCTTGGGTGGGAATTCATCCGTCACAGCCACTTTCAGATAACCATCTCTGATTCTTGGCCGGCTGGGCAGGAAGAGCTGCTCGACCCCCTTGACTGACACAGTTCCCTTCCTTCCCCTCCTCCTCTGACCTCAATGACACTCCCTGATGGCCCTTCACATCCCTCTGCTGACCTTGACATCATGGTCACCCCCCGGTGCTTCTTGGAAAAGGGCATTTTGTGGCTCGGGGTGTTCCCCCCCCCCCCCCCCGCCCCGGATCCAGTCAGAGTCCCGTGGAATCTGCCATCACACCATGTTTGAATAAGCCCCTCCTCCCTTTCCAGGCTTCTTAGACCTTAACCCCCAGCAGGTTGTGTGGTCCCCTGACCCTGGCCTCCTCACTTCCTTAAGGAAGACACTCCATCTCCAGACTCGGCATTTTCACTGACTGTGTCCCACGCCTGGAATTCTCTCTCTCTCTATATCACTTGGCTTGCTTTAAATTCCAACTGAAATCCCTCCTTCTGCAAAAAGCCTTTCCTAGTCCTCTTTTAGGGCAGCTAGGGGGCGCCATAGGCACAGAGCTCTGGGCCCGGGGTCAGGAAGACTCATCTTGAGTTCAAATCCAGCCTCAGACACCTACTAGTTGCGTGACTCTGGGCAAGTCATTTAACCCTGTTTGCCTCAGTTTCCTCATATGTTTCCTCATATGTAAAACGAGATACAGAAGGAAACGGCAAACCACTACAATATCTTTGTCAAGAAAACTCCAAACGGGATCACAGAATTGAACATGACTGAAAGACTGAACAACAAAATCCTCCTTAATCTTACTGGTTTCTGAGCAGCTAGGTGGCTCAGTGGATATAGTACCAGCCCTGGAGTCAGGAGGGCCTGAATTCAAATCCAGCCTCAGACAGTTGACACTTACTAGCTGTGTGACCCTAAGCAAGTCACTTAACTCCTATGGCCTCACCCTCCTCCAAAAAAAATTTTACTGGTTTCTCTCTGAGATAATCTCCAACATATCTTGTTTGTACAGTTGTTTGCAAGTTGTCTTTTCCGTTAGACTTGGGCTCCTTGAGAGCAGGGATTGTTTTTTGCCTTTCTTGTTATCCCCAGCACTTAGAATAGTGCCTGCACGCAGTAGGTGCTTAATAGATGCTTCTTCACTTGACTTGTGCTCTGGTCAACCTTTTTATTAATTATTTGGATAATGGTATAGATGGACGCTTATGAAATGGGGAGATGGTTCAGAGTTGGGAGGGTTAGCTAACAGGTTTGATGACATGGCTGAGATACCCTGTTACCTGTATAATAAAGGGTAATAGGATTGTGTAATCATTCAGGCATCTTCTGGTGACACATAGCTCTGGCCCCTTGCTAAAGGACGTGTTTGAACCTAAGGCTGGGTCCAAGATGGTGTGTGATTGATCAAGAAGGAGGCTTCAAAAGGAGAAACAGCTTTCTCAGTCTTCCTTCCATTTGTGTGAATGTGTGAGGACGTTTGAACATGTCAAACATGCCAGTGACGGGGACCATGAGGAGCCGCCAGAAATGGCCCGAGCCATGGTCCAGCCTTATCATTCACTGGACATCCTTGTCCTTGGGGAATGAAAGTCTAGCAGAGAGACAGACTACACACAAAATGATCAAAATAGTTTCAAATTCTTACAGGATCTGAATAAATGTATAGATTAGGAAGCTGCCCAAAGGGAAGGAATTTTGAAGATGGAGCTAGATATGGATGAATGGAGAGATGTAAGAGTACTTTCAGTTAAGGAGTGAGCACGGCATTGTGATAGGCATGAGGAAATGGAATAAAGAGGGGTACGGGGACAGATGAGCTTGGCTGGAATGAAGGGGCCATGTCGGAGATTAAAAAGAGGCCAAATAGGGGCGGCTAGGTGGCACAGCGGATAGAGCACCAGCCCTGGATTTAGGAAGACCTGAGTTCAAATCCGGCCTCAGACACAAAATACTAGCTGTGTGACCCTGGGCAAGTCACTTAACCCTACTGCCTAGCAAAAAAAAGAAAAAGAGGCCAAATGGTAGAGAAACAGGTGACCCAGCGGATGGAAAGCCTCAAGTGTCAGGTCCAGAAATCTGGACTCCATCTTATAAGTAAGGAGGATTGGTTACGTTGTTCCTGCTCACAGAAGAATGGAAGCTCCTCGAGGGTAGGACTGTTTGGTTTTGTCTTTACACCCCCAGCACATAGTATGGTGCTTAGCACATATTGGCTCTTGATGCGCCCTTGTTGAATAGGTAAATTAAAGAATGCACAGACCATTCTAGTGCGGCTTCTCTGTGGTGAACTGAGGGAAGATTTTCAGACCTCTTCTGGCTCAGGGAGATTCCTGTGTTCCACCCTTTCTTCATGTCTGGGCACAACCTAGTGGGATCGTAACAGCATCTGACACATCCTTCCTTCCTTCCTCAGGGGTGAAGAAGCGAACCAAGGTCGTCAAGAACAATGTGAATCCTGTATGGAATGAGGTGAGGAGCTCAGGGAGCCTGGAATCCTGGGGACCTTCCTGGAGGAGGCAGATTTTTAAGGGATATTTTAGGAGAGAGGAAAGGACATGACCCACACATGGGTGGGACTTACAAGAGATTCTAGGGATTCATGAAATCCTCCTGTGTGATATAAGGAAGATGGGAAAATAGGTGGGCCCCCCATTTGGTCTACTGCTACCCTTTTCAGGGCTTGGGATCAGAAAACCCTGGGTTCAAATTCTACTATGGTCACTTATTGGCTCTGAGACTCAGGACAAGTCACTTTACTGCACTAGCCTCAGTCATCCGTCTGTAAATTGAGGGGTTTGGGCGAGATGGTGTTGGAGGACCCTTGTAGCTTGAGATCGAAGACCCTTCACCTTACTAACACTGCCTTTTTGAAAAAAAAAAAAGAAAAAAGGAGTCTACTCCCTGATATCTGAATGTTACTCTGGGAACTGCCAATGAACAATTAGAGATTCACTAATCAAGGACTAGGGCCCGCACCTGGGTCTCTTCCTACCTCCTCCTTCTTTCAGATGCCAGTCAAACTCACCTCCTCCAGGAAGCCCTTCCTGATTAACCCTACCACATTCAAGTCTCATCTCGCTCTGGATTCCTTCTCTCACCCTTGACCCCAGTGCTGGGTGGTGTTAGAATGTGTTTTCAAGTCTGTTTCCTGGATATAAGTCCTGTTTCCTCCATGAGGCTGGCCTGAGGGCACATGAAGGAGAAAAAAGCTTCCAGAAGGAACATTGAGTCCAATCTGGGGTCATGATTCCAACCAGACCAGAAGGGGTCTTGAGATCGTCTAGTGTAGGGGTGGGGAACCTGCGGCCTTTTGACTGAGTCCAAGTTTTACAGAACAAATCCTTTTACTAAGGGGATGTCAGTCAAAGGGCCGCACTTGAGGACCTCGAGGCCGCAGGTTCCCCACCCTGACTCTAGTTCATTATTGTACAGATGGGGAGTTTGGGAGCCCTTAGCCTAGAGGGTGACTCAGCTCCTGCCCCTCCAGTCTGAAGGAGGAGACCCAGTCCTTTTCTCCAAGGAGCTCTGGTCTGATGGGGGAGATGGCTCATAGAGGGTATCAGGAGAAAGACAAGCATCCCTTGTGCTGAGAGGGGAACCCTAAGAAAGCAGCCGGGTTCTCTGGGCGTTTCTCACCCAGCCCGGCTTCTTCCTGTGGCCTCTCTCCCAGGTGCTGATCCCGGGGCCCTGAGCTGGCGTGGGGGTGGGGCTGTGATGGGGCAGAGCCCGACCCTTCCTGGTCTCTCTGCCCTCTCCCTTGGGATGCTGCCGCCAGGGCCCTGGGCTGTCCTGCTGATGCTGCCCTTTCTTTCCTTCCAGGGATTTGAATGGGATTTGAAAGGCATTCCCTTGGACCATAGCTCTGAGGTGCACGTGGTGGTGAAAGACCATGAGACAGTGGGAAGAAACAGGTGAGAAACAGCAGGGTGCCTGAGAAGGCCTCTCACTGGCCTTGTAGCACACACGTTCTTTTATTTTTATTTTTTGTTATTCTTTTTCAAAAGAATGTTTGTATTTTATTTTTCTCAATTACGTGTAAAAACCATTTTTAGCATCCATTTTTTGTTATTTTTGAGTTCCAAATTCCCTCCGTCCTCCTTGAGAAGACAGGCACTTTGATGTGGATTATTCACACGCAGTCATGCAAAATATCAGCCTTTCTTTTACACCTGGGCCGTGCCTGAGAGCTTATAAGAATAATAGCCAGCATCGTGGGATTGTTGGATAATACGTGTGCTATATTATTATTATTAATGAAGCCCTTTAAGGTGTTTAAAATACTTCACATTATCTGATGTGAGCCTCGAAACAACTCTGTGAAAAATAGATGCTATTATCCTCCTCATTTTGCAGTTGAGGAAACTGAGGCTGGGGAGGGTAAATGACCTGCCTGGGCTCACACAGTTCATTTCCTGAGCAGGAAGATGGAAGACCAGTTCCTTTGTCCAATATAAAAAATCATCCTGGAGGTCAGGACATGGGAGCTGGGAGTGGGTGGGGTGGGGCAGAAGATGGCCTCTCTGAGCCTCAGTTGTTTCATCTGTAAGATAAAGGATTGAAGCTCAGAGGTCCCTGAGCTTTCTTCTAGATGTAATATTCTGTGATTTTTCTGGAATAATTTGGCTCCTTAGAGTTCCGTTCTTATGATTTAACTAAATCAGAAGAGCGCTGTGTTCTGTAAGCATGAGATATGAAAGGACTTTGCACTGGAGAATCACAGATCCTTGGAGTGGTCTGAGGCCCCATCTTAGGTATTTCTTGGGAAAATATAGCAAGGACAGAAGTGCAAAAGCATCCTCCCTATGACTCCCACATCAGGGCACATTCTCCCTTGGGGAAAAGCTGAAAGAACTAAGGGGTTGAGAGGTACAGTTGTAAGGAAGACGTGTTGCTAGGAGCACCTCAGGACTCCTGGTCCCCTTCTGGGAGTTTGTAGTAAGTTTGCTCTGGGCTGAGGGTCTCCCTTTCTCAGCTGGACTGGCTCCTACCAGAATACAGTGTCTCCCCTACCAAGTCAGTCCTCTGTTGGGTGGGGTCATTCCCTCACTGGCCTCCCATCAGCCTTGATTCCAGTTCAGTGTTTCCATAGCAGAACTCATTGTCTTTCCTTCCAAACGTCCCCTTCTTCTGAACTTCCCTATTACTGTTGAAGGCACTACTCATCTTCTGTTCCCCCAGGTTCAAAACCTGTTGTCACCCTCAACTTCTCTCTCCTACTTAATTCTGACTCTAATTCCGAGTCAGTTGCCAAATCTTGTTATCTATTTCCGTGCTTCGTCTCTCACATGCATCTCCTTCACTCCATTTACATTAAGCCACCATCCTAGTTCAAACCCTCATTGATCCTCACCTGGACCACTGCAGGGCTGTCCTCATTGGTATTACTTCTTCCTGTTCTTTCCCATTCTCATTCATCCTCCACTCAGATGCCAAAGTGATTTTCTTACAGTGTAGATTAGATCACATCACCACCCTGCCCAATGTATTCCAGTGGCCCCCTGTTACCTTTGGGATCAAAGCGTTTCATAACCTGGCTCCTTCCCACCTTCCCGATCTTCTTTCTTTAAAATTTATTTTATTTTTAATTTATGGAGTAAAACAAGCATTTCCATAACATAGTTCAATAAAAAAGATGATTGCACATGAAACTGCAAATCTACTATGCACAACTTGCTATTCCTTTCAAATATACAACAAAATTCTCATGTAAATTTCTTCCCCCCCCCACCCCAATATACATTCTATTGTGAATGGTAGAGATGGCTACCATTAGACACAAATAGGTATATGTATATGTATATTATATATATATATGCAAAATTATTCTATACATAACTTCTATTTATCCGTTCTTTCTCTGGATACAGATAGCATCTTTCTTCACATGTCTTTTATAGTTAATCTGGGTAGTTATACTAGACAAAATAACTTGTTCACTCAAAGTTGTTCTTAAAACAATATTGCAATTACTGTATACAGTGTTCTCTTGGTTCTGCTCATTTCGCTCTTCATTATTTTGTGCAAATCTTTCCAAGTTTCTTCTAAAATCATTGAGCTCATCATTTTTTACAGCACAGTAATATTCTATCACAATCATATACCACAACTTGTTCAGCCATTCCCCAATTGATGGGCATCCCTGCAATTGCTAGTTTTTTGCCACCACAAAGAGAGCTGCTATAAACATTTTGGAACATATAGGTTCTTTTCCTTTTTCCCTAATCATCTTTGGAAATAGATCAAGTGGTGGTATTGCTGGGTCAAAGGGCATAGGTAGTTTAACAACTCTTTGGGCATAATTCCAGGTTGCTCTACAAACTCCATCAACAATGAATCAGTGTTCCAGTTTTTCCACGGGATTCCCTCCAACATTGGTCACTTTCCCCTTATATCATTTTAGTCAATCTGGAGGTGTAAAATGATATCACAGGGTTGTGTTAATTTGCATTTCTCTAATCAATAATGATTTAGAGCATTTTTATATGACTATAAATTGTTTTGATTTCTTCATCTGAAAACTACCTGTTCATATCCTTTGACCATTTAGCAATTAAGGAATGACTCATATGCTTATGGATTTGACAAAGTTCTTTATATATTTTAGATATGAGACCTTTATCTGAAAAACTGTCAATAATTTTTTCCCCAATATTTTGCTTTCCGTCTGATCTCGGCAGCATTTGTTTTACGTGCACAAAACCTTTTTGATTGAATGTAGTGGAAAGTATAAACAAATCCTACTGCCTTGTATGACCTAGCTGTACCTTGCACATCTCACTTTGTCTCCCATCTCCATGGCTGGAATTCTTTCTCTTCCAACCTCTGATTTTTATACTTTTTAGCTTCCTTTAAGATTCAGCTCAATTGTCACCTTCTCCAGGAAGCCTTTCCTGGTCCCCCCAGCTGCTATTATCACCCACTCTAAGGTTATCTTTCATCTACTCATATTTATCTTATGTGGAATCTCCTAAATAACATTTAGGTTCCTTGAGGAGAAGGACTGTTATTGGCTTCTCTCTCTTTTTCCAGCACTTAGAACAGTGCCTAGCACATACAAGATGCTTCATAAATGCCGCTTTGATTATTTGCCTTTGTTTCTGTAGGGCTTAGCCCAGTGTCTGTCATGAGCAAGTGCTCACGGCTTGCTGATTGATTGACTGATTACTCTGTAAAACCCAGAAGGAAGCTTAGTGGGTGAAGGGAGGTGAGGGAAGGTGAATCTGAGCATGCTTTAAAGACCAGTCCTCATTGGCCACACCTCCCATTACACCTAAATTGGCCTCTTTGAAATGAATGATAGTGGTCCTTGGCTAAATGCCCATTTACACAATCTAGGCTCCTACTCAAACGGACAGTTTGCTGTTTGCCATCTTATACTTTCTTGCCTCTGAACCTTGGCTCAGGCTGCCTTGCCCTCCCAAAATCTTGTTTCACATCCCAGCCTTAATTCTCTGCCTCTTGAAATCCTATCTGTCCAGTATTTTACAAAGGGTGAAGCCACCTGTTGCTGTCCATCCTAATTCATTCAGATCATTCCCTGTTCCCAAGCCTGGAAAGTAATAATAAGGTACAATTCTGGGGCCTGTTAACAGTGATGTGGTGCTTTTCTTAGTACATCCCTGGGAGGGGAGTAGAGAGGCAGAACAGAATAGAGAGGCAGAGTGGGAGAGGGTTGGCATATTGGACTTGTGGTCAACTCCCTTTTCAGACACCCACCAAGCTGTGTGACCCTGGACCAGTCACTTAACTTACCCAGCCCTCAGTTTCCTGGACTCACTGACTTTTAAGGTATCTTCCAGCTCTAAATCTGAGATCGTGTGGCCATAAGATTATTATCCCCACTTAACAGTTGAGGAAATAGTCTTAACTAGGGGAAGTGACTTGCTCAAGGTCACAGGGCTAGTAAGTGATGGAGGCAGGGCTTAGTTCCTGAATCTGCTGCTCTTTCTTTCACACTAAACTTCTTCAGGCAGTGGTCAGCATTGGAAGTCTGTTCTGGCCTTATGGATCAAGGTCACTTCAACAAGTGGTGTCAGAAAGTCAGCCCTTGGCAAAATTGTGTCCCAACCGCAGTTTGCCTTCTGGGCTATCCTTAAAACCTTTAGCGCAGTGCCTGGCACATAGTAGGCACTTAATAAACGCCTCCTTCCTCCCTTCCAAATCCCACATTTGTGGCTGATGCATGAAAATCCTGTTTTCATCCTTTCCCAGTGGTTGTATGTTTATCAGGGGATGCCCTTGGCCTCACTGTTGTTGTTGTTATTTTTATTAGAATTCGATTTAATACAACAAACATTAATTAAGCCCCAATTTATACCAGATTCTGATGACATAAAGGCAAAAAATGAAAAAATCCCTCCTTTCAGTGAGATTCTATCCTATTAAGGAGACAAGTTTTGTATGTGACAATAAGACTAGAATGATAAAAGAAAAGTGAGATGACCCCTGCCCTCAACAAGCATGCATTCTATTGTGAATAACAATGTGTATCCACATGAGCAAATGCCCCATAATTTCAGGGGGAAGGCAACACTAATGACTTAGGGGTGTCAGGGATGGATTAGTGGAGAAGGTGGCAATGAGCTGAATCTCCAGTCCTTCCCCCGCCCTTTGAGAAGGCAAGCAATATGATATTCAATATACATAGGAAATCATGCAAAACATATTTCCACATTAGCCATGTTGCAAACAAAACAAAACAAAACAAAACAAAGAAACAAAACCCAATAAAAATAAAGAACATGAAAGAAAATATGTTTCAATCTACATTGAGCCCATGAGTTTTCTCTCTGGAGGTGGATAGCATTTTTCATCCTGCGTCCTTCAGAATTGTCTTGGAACATTGTATTGATCAGGGTAGCAAAGTCTTTCACAGTTGATCATCATTACCATATTGCTGCTAACTATGGAC